TAGGCATCACCCACTAACATAGGTTTGTTTCTTAGATGGAATTTAAAGTAGGAGAGAGAGTCAACATTGCAAATGTCTTGGGAGAGAAAGTTTACATGGAATACAGGGTAACCTAGTTGATATGTGATTATATTATGGCAGTTTAATCAGATTATTTCTGCTACTTTTATGATCAAGCGCAGTGGGATGCAAAATGTAGCAGAGGCTGGAAGAATTAGCATGTAATTATGCTCCTATTTAGCGGGGTCAGACTTTTTTTTGAGTTTCATTTCAAATTCCTTATCACTGCAAAGGTCTTCACTTTAAGTGTTGTGCTGTATGCACTATAGTACATCATGTTTTTATCAATAAAACAAAGTCCCAATGGTGCCACACTCTGCAGAACTTGCACTTCTTCCATGCCTTTCGAAAGCAGTTTCAAAAAACAGCAGGTTTCATAAATGGCTCCTCTACCTCTGTTGCTGTAGGGAGGCTTATTTTAGCCACTTCTGACTAGTTACAGATTTTAACTTCAAAACAACACACTTTTCCCCCCTGTGCTGTAATTAAAACAGGTAATGAACACTGATTCCTTTAATGTTTGGCTGATTTTCTGGTTCAGTACTTATGATTACACAATACATCATTGAATGAGAGGTTTTAGCGTCTAAAAGTTTGTTTAGAGGCACACTGAGCAATAGTAATGAGTAACCAGACAAGTCAAGTTTTTATGTTGAGTGTAAAGTAAAATCTATCATTAGAATGGACATAACAGTAAAATACTTCAATAGCATGCATCATTTACAGGCTGCGGGGCACTGTCTTAAATATTCCCTTTATTCAATAGGATCTGATCAAAGATGCTCTAAACTAACTATTTTCCTGACTTCTCTCTTTGTAGACTGGGACAAGTTTCCATGTGTTTGACCAGGGACGCTTTGCCAAGGAAGTTTTGCCAAAGTACTTCAAACACAATAATATGGCGAGCTTTGTTCGACAGCTCAACATGTGTGAGTACTCTCTTCTCTTCTCTTCTCTTCTCTTCTCTTCTCTTCTCTTCTCTTCTCTTCTCTTCTCTCCATTACACTATCTTTTTATACTTAGTGTGTGTGTGTGTGTGTGTGTGTGTGTGTGTGCTCTTGTATGTATGTGTGTAGATGGTTTCCGTAAAGTGGTGAACATTGAGCAGAGCGGTCTGGTGAAGCCTGAGAGAGACGACACAGAGTTCCAACATTTATACTTCCTTCAGGGACATGAACACATGCTTGAGCACATCAAGAGGAAGGTATGGGCACACAAAAATGCACACATACACAATGTCTCAAAGACAAGGAAGTCAGTTAAACAAATCTCCACAGACTGTGTTGGCTCGGAGAAATGTTTAAGCTGAAATTGTGCAACTGAACACATTTACACTGACATTAGAAGCACTGATGTTTGGGATGTTTACAGTTAAATATGTGAAGGTGGTGTGAATGTGGAAGTTAATCGTCTCTATACACGACAACATCTGTCCAACCTCACAGTGTGTGGAGATATGTGAAAGAGCTGTGTGGAGTAGCTAATTAAACACAGCTGGAATTACTTGCTAGCTTATGGCCTGAATAATCAAACTCCATGATGTATTGCATTGTAGATAGGAGAATTAAATCATCTTAAAAGACAGAAACATGTGACCTGTAAAAGTGAAATTTTGGACAGGAAATGGAACAGAGTACCAAGCTAGCAAAAGATATACAGGGTAGTAGCTCACCACTGACCCCATGCAGACAGTCTGGTTAGTCCCTTGTCGGCAATCCAAATGGATTTATTTGAAATTTATGGGAGTAAAATTGATTTTACGCAGCCAAGACTTGTGGAATTTCCCTTCCCTTCTTTCTAAGTCACAGTTTGTTGATATCAGCACAGAACAGAAAAGACTTTAAGGCATCTATGAAAGCTAGACTAAATTTCTTTGAAATGTTTAAAGTCTGTAGATTGCATTTTCAGTTTTATTTTATTGGCATTAGATGACTATACTTTCAACATAAAACTGCCTCTACAGAATCTCCTGGACAGATTTCTTGGCAAAGGCACTTAAAAAGTAAAATCCTTACATACATAACATTGTTATATGCTGGTTTAAGCCAGATGCCACCACAGTAATGGTGTCTTGTCTAAAAGCTGCTGCCTTTAAGCTAAATGCTAACATCAGCATGCTAACAGGCTCACAATAACAATGCTAACATGCTGATGTTTAGCAGGTATAATGTTTAAGATGTTCACAATCTTAGTTTTGTTTATTGACGTTAGCTAATTAGCACAAAACACAAATTTCACCTGATGCTAATGGGAAACATTAGTTTTTAAGGCTTTTGGTTTTCAAAAATTTGGATCCAGTGATGGCGCTAAACAAAAATAATGAAGGGATCACCAAAGTAATTACAATTCAGCCAAATGAAGACAAGATTGTACCAAATTGGTTGTTGAGATATTGCACTCAAAACCACAAATGTCAACCTCATGGTAGCGCTAAAGGAAATGTCAGGCGATCACCTAAGTCAGTAAGGCTCATCCTCTGGGGACCATAATTGTCTTAACAAAATGTTGGCGATCCATCCTATAGTTGCTGAAACCAAAGTGGACAGACTGACATTCCCATCCAAAAACTCCACTGAGTTTCTCTGCTCACACTCACACACAGCAGAATGAATGTGTGGTTTTATGTGCTGTATTTGAGTAAGTTATTGAATTAGGCTCTATTGTGCATTCAGGTATCTATAGTGAAAAGTGAGGAGACCAAAGTTCGTCAGGAGGACCTCAGTAAACTGCTGTATGAAGTCCAGCTTCTCAGAACACAACAGGACAACATGGAATGTCAGATGCAGGACATGAAACAGTGAGTACAGACGAAGTACAGCATGTGTGCCATGAACTCACAAGTCCTCAGCATTCCAGGCAAAGCGGACAACTGCCCC